AAACCTTTACGAAAGGCGAAGTAAGAGATCCGGAACCTGGAAATGCCAAAGAGACAACTTCCACTAATGCTGACACAAGGTTGTAGCTAATCAACTGATAATAGACAAATATAAATATAAATATACCGTACAAAAGGTTCTATAAATATATAAATAACATTGCTAAACTCTTCATTGCATTTTGCAAACAAGAAACAACTTCCACTAATGCTGGCACAAGGCTGTAGCTAATCAACTACCAAAAAGAATCTTATAAAATGGCCCCCTCTCTCAAATACTGGGTGTATATTAACACAATTAGCCTTTCATATCTATTGCCCCCAATTCCAACCCAAACTTTCAGCTTATATTTTATATCAAAATAAAGATTGTGATAATCCCAACCGTAAGCAGACACTAAGTTACAAGAAATTCCATGGCCAAGTGCAACCTAAGCAGATATATGCTTTCCAATTAATTCCATTGCAAAATCACATATTCACTGTTTGATCGTATCTACAACTACATTTCATGTTTAAAACACCCACCCCTCCATCAACCTAAATACAGGATAATAGTAAACAAAGCTCATTCCACTTAAACCTATCAATATGCAAGCCAAACCAACAATATTATTTTATAGCTAATCAACCGTACGATAGCTCCAATCCAAAAAAACAAAAACTAGAACTGATAATAGAGAAATATAATTTATATGTTTATAGAACCTTCAACGTGATTAATAAATTGAAAGCTTCAACATACCATTTCATGTACTGCTTGTGCCAGAGAAACCAACTGAATAATAATTACAACCAAGAATTCATACTTACAACCAACATTTCACACAAACCCAATTCAAATTAAAGCTCAACCAAACCCTAGAAAACCAAAGTAGCAAAATTAAGCTTTAGAATCAGCTCAAACAAACTAGCAAACCTTAAAACTGAAACCAAAAAAACAAAACCCAAATAAAATCTTTAGAAATAACCTTTATTACTTCTCATAATTCTCCTATGCAAGAACTCTGAACTCAACAATGTAAAATTGAAAAAGAAAAAAGTGTAAAAATACCCAGATAGAGAACTAAGCAAAAAGGAGGAAAGGAAGTGAAGAAATGAACCTCTCACCCATGTTTTCCTTCCCAAATTGGTTTTCTTTCAAGGGGAATACGGAAAGGCGGAAGTAGAACAAAAAAAAAAAAAATCGCGACAGGAAGTAGTCAAGGTGGACGATATTCTTTGGTAAGAAACGAAATCAAGGGATTCTAACCCAAATACAGAATTAAATAGAGCTGATCTAGGAGGTAGTCATATGCAAATCAATAAAAATATGAGGAAGGAAGAGGAATTACCTAAGGCGCTGATCTATCGAGAGAGATGATGAAAAGTCAGGTAGATGCCCGCGATCGAGAACCTACTATCAAGGAGAGGTTGAGTGGCCAACGACGTGAAAGTGAGAGAGCAGCGGCATAGTCAGGCTAGACGGTGAAAGCTCATCGCCGTCGGTTAAAAGAGAGTGCAGACCAAATTCAATTCAAAATTGAAATTTGGGGGTTTTAGGGTGAAATTGAAATACACGGTATTTACCCTTGAGAATTACTCTGTTAAAATACATGTATTTCATCCAAATTCAATTACATTTTATTTAAGTAAAAACAAACAGTAAAATTGAATTTGAGCACTTCAAATTCAAATACATACTGTCAAATTCAAGTTGCCAAATAGAGCATAAATGAATTTTCCTCTCGGTCAATAACTTTCACAATTCATAATCCGTTATAAATCCAAAAATGTTAGCCCAATCACATGCCAGTCACATGCTCATTAAGATCCATCAATTAAGAAAATACGTGTTACCTGGGTGTTGAGGTGAACGTAACATGGCTTCTTTAATCTAATGTGGATTTTAAGGAGCACATGATCAGACGTTACATTTTTGAAATTTTAATAGATTATAAATTATGAAAGATGTTAATCAAGAAAAAAATTAATTTAAAATGTTAACCATAAAAAGAGAACTTTTAAAATTAAGATTATGTTCTAACTTTAAACTGTTTATTAATTTAAAATGAGAATTTCTAAGCCTATGGCCTTGTGACAATCGAACAAAGATTGATTATGGGTTCCTAAAGTTCTAAAGTTTGCCCAAAAAAAGATCAATGGAAATCTCGGATAAAATGGTAAAAAGCAGAATGCATTGGGAGTATGATATTTACCCGATTCACAATCGGTGATCGTGCATCTACTACCAGCACGATCAAATCTCCATCCTACCATGGCGATCGACTTGATCCTTGCTCCACTCAAGGAACAGGAAGGTCGGAGCGTCGAGCAGGACCACTAACTAACTAGCCGTTAGCCTCTCGTCGTGGCCTCAGAGCATCAGAGCATTGATTCTAGGCCTGACTGAGCCCAATAGCTAATTGCAATCAAGTACATCCATTGTAATTTGTGAGCCGAATCGAATCCATTATAATTCATAAAGAAAAAGATGCCCAGTTTCATTGGACCTCAATGGAATGTGAATAGTTCCATGGCCCAAAGATAAACCCCCGAAATCCAGAAATCATATTTACCTTATCCAGAGCGTGAGGACGACTCCCATTTCAGCATCTCCGAGAGCATGCTATTTAGATTCCCTTGTCACCCAAAACCTTATCTGCAATTCCCTCCTTTTCCTTGTCAACCACCCTGCAATTTCGTCGCTATTTTTCTTTTGCTGAATTCTAACAGGCACTGTATGTTATTCTTTATCTCTAGAATCCTCTGAAATCAAGCATATGGCAGCGTTTATCTCCTGCAACTGTTACTCCTCTCTTGCTGCCGCCAAATTGGTTTGCCCCGCATCACCTACGAATCGTATCCGCTTTGTGAATGGTCCGAACAGTAGTTCGTGGTGGACTAGGCGGTTAGTGCCCAAATGTTCTTCCAAGAAGCTTGAACGGTGTCAGCCCCAAATTGAGAAGGTGGGTTTTTGGAAAGTTTACTCCTTTCTTAGTTATTGGTTGTCTTATGATGCTGCATTTCAATTTAGAGACCTCTAAATGGAGGTGGGTACTGGTATTTAGTGGGTTTTGCATTCTTTTGTTATATGGGAATTGTTGCCCTGAATTGTGGGAAAGTTCTTTGTGTGATTCATGTTCTGAAACGTATGAATTGGGTAGGATATTGACTCTTGTATTGAGCCTTTTTTTGGTGGGAGTTTTATTCAATGTTGCAATTATATGATGAGACTAAACAATGGTATATGTTATCAGCAGAAAGGGAGGTTTTTTTCCTTGAAGGAATGTGCAATCTCTATTGCTTTGGCAGTTGGGTTGGTAACAGGAATGCCAGCATTGAATTGGTCCCCTAATGCTTATGCAGCCAATCCTGCGTTGCCTGAGTTATCTGTGTTAATATCTGGGCCGCCAATAAAGGACCCAGGAACTTTGCTGAGAAATGCTTTGCCAATTGACAATAAGGCTATTAGGGAAGTACAGAAACCACTTGAAGACATAACTGACAGCCTCAAGATTGCTGGTGTCAAGGCACTTGATTCTGTTGAAAGAGTAAGATAACCTTTACCTTTTTTAAATCATATTTAGAAATTTTCAACTTTTCATGTTCATAAACTTTTTCCCATTCTGCTAACTCAGGCCTTGTGTTTGGATGGAATTTAGAATGTAAGGCAGGCATCACGAGCATTCAAGCAAGGGAAAACTTTAATCATTTCGGGATTAGCCGAATCAAAGAAGGACCATGGAGTGGAACTGCTGGACAAGTTGGAAACTGGAATGGATGAGCTACAACAAATTGTGGAGGATAGGAATAGAGATGCAGTGGCACCTAAACAGAAGGAGTTGCTTCAGTATGTTGGAGAGTGAGTTTCTTGATCAATATTATTACTAAACCTGATGCTGTAGAAGATTTAGCTTCTTTGTCAAGTTTAGACACCCCTTCATCTGATGGAAGAATGGATACCAAACAAAAAGCAGTTACTGATTTGAAGCAACCTGTCAAAGTCAACACAAAATGGTTAATGGTCCTTGGATAGTTGGAATATGATTGGTTTTTATCTGTCCTTTAAATTGAGGCCAATGAAAATAGTCTACAACTTAGACTTGCAAATATATGTGCTTTCCCTGTAGGTTTGATTGGGTAGTGGCAAAGCATCATCCCTGCTGGAAGTCCGAAAAAACCATTTTGTAAAGTGAGCCTTCAGTGAAACGGGTTAAAAAATAAAAATTAGCGACATTATATGGTTTATGCCACTGGCTTTGATACCAAGCATTGAGCATTTCACTGAAAAGCATTAAAATAAAAATTAGCCACCATGTAGGTGTTTTGAAGGGGGAGTAGGTTAGTGCATAATGTCTTGGAACCTAATCATACCTTGAACAAAAAAGTTGGGAAGGACTTAAGACTTAGAAATATTAAAATAAACTATTCTCATATATACCTTGTCATTGACTGCAGCTGAGATGTTCCTGGGGCATTGGGTTTCTGCAGTGTTGAAGAGGATATGGTGGATGGCTTTCCATTTGAAGTACCTGAAGAATATCAAAACATGCCTCTTTTAAAGGGGAGAGCAGCTGTGGATATGAAGGTCAAAGTCAAGGACAATCCCAATCTGGATGAATGTGTGTTTCATATAGTACTAGATGGCTATAATGCTCCAGTAACTGCTGGGAATTTTGTGGACTTGGTGGAAAGGCGCTTCTATGATGGTTTGGAAATCCAGAGAGGTAATAAGATGTAGATCTGATTTTTTTTTTTTTTTTCTCTCTTCCTACTTTTTTAGTTCATACAAGATGGCAAATTTTCTAGTCGCCCTTTTGATGAAAGCTTTCAAGATCATCTCCATAATGTTTAAGTTGTCATTGCATGATCTCTGAAAAGTCTGAAATAAATCAAATAACAACCTCATTTTGACTTGAGAAGTGAAAATCAGTGCTGAGTTCAGTTTAGCGTATATTTTTGTCTTCCAAGTCTTGGTTCCATATCTGATTAGGCATATATAAACAACTTGCTGATGGTGCCTGCGCAACTGGAAACCCCTTTTTCCAATTCATACCATCACCATGGACATGGAGTTTTACTGCTGAAATAGTGGTTCTTGTCAATTCAGTTTAGAGATTCACTTAAGATTTTTGGTTTCATTGCAATAAGACATAGATTTTCCCTTGGATTTGCTCCAGCGGATGGTTTTGTTGTTCAAACTGGAGATCCTGAAGGCCCCGCAGATGGCTTTATTGATCCTAGTACTGGGAAAAACCGTTCAGTACCATTAGAAATCATGGTTGAAGGGGAGAAAACACCTTTCTACGGAGCAACCTTGGAGGTGAGCCCTTCTCTTATTGCTTCCCCTACCCCCCCACGTCAAGTGAAATAATTGATGGGGAAGGGGAATAGTTTAAAGCTAAACAAAGCAAAAGACGTTTATCAGTTCCACAATTGACTTGATTCTGAAAAGATTTGTTACTTTGTTCTTGCAGGAGCTTGGCCTTTACAAGGCTCAAACAAAGCTTCCGTTCAACGCATTTGGAACCATGGCAATGGCCAGAGATGTAAAAATTCTGATTTCTCTCAGCATTTGTGTTACTTTGTGGCATTTTATAAATACCGTTAAACTGTTATTAAATTTTTTTCTGCCAGGAGTTCGAGAATAACTCTGCGTCCAGCCAGGTATTCTGGTTATTGAAAGAAAGTGAGCTCACCCCTAGTAATGCCAACATATTGGATGGTCGATACGCTGTGTTTGGTTATGTGACAGAAAATCAGGATTACTTGGCTGATCTCAAGGTTGGTGATGTTATAGAGTCAATTCAAGTAGTCTCCGGCCTGGATAATCTCATAAATCCAAGCTACAAAATAGCTGGCTAAACCTTTTTGTAGTACTATTTCAGTTGATGATGTATTCTTTTGTGAAGAAACTGAAAGACAAGACAATCTCACTTTCATTGGAGCATAATAAGATACAATCATGCAATAATTGTTTGTTTTATTGGAAGTGGGGGTTTTGTATGTGTAAATTATCCAAGTCACGGTAGAATTCGAACTTTCAAGCTCAAATACAGAATACTCTTAACAAGCTTACTGAATAAGTGAGCAAAAAGAGGAGACAGAAAAGCTCTACAATATGCGTGTATGCATGAGTTGGTGTTCTCTGGAGCTCCTAGCCAATAACATAAAAAATTTGTACTGTCAGCTCCTAGATTTCCCCCATCTTTCCAATTCAATTAAGTATGAATAAATTGGTTTATGTAGAACTTGCAATACGTCGTTACTTGCATTTCACGGCCCCCTGTATCTACGGAAACAAAAACAACCTTGAGGCTGATCAAGTGGGATCATACCTCCACCCTTGGATGTGTCAATCCCTTCCAACATTGACACCACCTCATCCATCTCTGGCCGCCTGTCAGGGTTAGCATCCCAACACCGCTTCATAACGTTTGCAAGAGAACTTGGGCAGCAACGAGGTATCTCTGGCCTCAGATTCTGTAGTTTCATATTCAACATTTTTGTGATGTTTTGCCTTACAATTTCATAAACGAATACCATATATACTAACCACGTAGAGGAGCAAATAAATTCAGTGCCATTCCCAAGAGTTTCTATGTATGTACTTAATCCATGTATAAAAAGTAGAGAATTAGCAGAACACTTCGCATACCTGACGGACAACAGCTGATGTCACTTCCGAAAAGCTGAGGTCGGGATAAGGCATGTCACAGCAGTATATCTCCCACAAACATATGCCAAAACTATACACATCACACTTTCTATTGTAGGGGTTTCCATTGAGAACCTGTCACATTTTAAGTCATCAATGATAATTCCCTTATCCTCTCCACGAGCTAGAAGGAAATAATACAATAACATCATGCAAGCAGAGGCCAGGATGTATTTTAAATTGTATAGAGATGAATGAAAGAAAAAGATTCTATAGACCTCTGGTGCCATGTAACCAAGTGTTCCAGTCTCTCCAGTCATGTCATTAGGATTTGAAGCTTCGAGGCGAGCAACACCAAAATCAGCTATCTTTACTGTACGTGTCTTGTCAAGAAGCATATTTTCTGTTTTAACATCTCGGTGGACAATCTTCTTAGAGTGGAGATAGCTCAACCTACAAAAATATAGAGAAACATAATCTGAATATAAAATTTTCAGGAACAATCTCAAGTTACAAATTGAAATGGAAAAGCCACAGTACAACCATGAAAAGCAGCTATCATCACATTATAAAATTGAAAAAATATACTACATAAAGAATCTGACCCTCGTGCAAGATCTAGTGCCAGTTGAATAACCACTCTGAATGCCAACTTCCTTCTCCGATTCTTTATGAGGTAAGATTTCAATGCACCACCAGGACAATATTCAACAACAACACAACAAACATTAATTGGCAAGCCAACATGACTGTTTTCTGTCTGTATATTTAGCTCTGACATGCCCATTGTTGCCCCTATAAACTGCAAAGAAATATGGCACATATTAAAGAAAAATACTTTTAGTTTTAAGATTTTCAACACTCGTATATTTACAATTGCAGATCCTAGGCATTAGAATGAACAAAACCTAATATTGACTATGAAACTATTGTCAATGTCCTTTTTAATAACTGATAGGTCTGAATGAGTAACTTCAGAAATAAAATCCACGATGGCAAAACATATAGTTAAGTAAATAAGGAATTGAACCCAATTGAGACAGGTCATTTGGGAGTGTGGAAGGTTGTAGGGAAAGGGCCATTATTCAGCATTTGTCCCTCCAAAGCAAGGTTTCCATAGGTGAGAAAATGAGATATTACCATCAGTCAGTTTATGTTTTGCAACTGTTAGCATAGGGGAGATAACATGCATTCTATAAAGTATCCAATAATGGAATGGAATATTTGAAAGTTCCACCAAAAGTCCTCTTTAACTCTTCTGCTAAAAAACACTGTATGAAGTCTTTAATGTCTTGCATTCTTTTTCAGAAACAACAATCAGATAGCATGTTATTGTATGCTCTTTTTAATTTGGTAGAGGGAAAGGATGGGGAAGCCAGAAGGAGATATATGATATCAAGAAAAGGTAACAAGGAACTACAGAAAACCATACCTTTGTTACGTTAGGGTGTTCAAGCTTGTGCCAGACTGCAACTTCTTGTGTAAATGCTGCTCGAAGTGAAGCTATTTCAGCTTCTGATCTGTGGCCCTCTTCTCCCCAATCAAGAAGTTTGACTAAGCATGAAGAAAGAAGTTAATAGTTGTGGACCGTAACTTTCAAAGGGGGAAATGTGTACACCTCATAAATGATCATTACAACAGCACATCATATAAGGTTAAAACTAATAATGAACCAAACCAAATATAATCTGCCCATGATATAACAAAGTTTCAAATAATGGTCCCAAGTTTGGTCATTGTTTCAACATAGAGATTAATGTGGAAGTTAAAATCTTTCCACTTCATTGAAAATACTTGGTTGGTGCTTCTCTGAGTAGCTGAGATGAGGTTCCATTTGTAAGTTCTAGAGCCATCCACAACATGCAAGTACAAAAAGTCAAATGCAGTGCCTTGAAATTTATGGCTCTTTTATCTCAAAAAGGCCAGATAAAAGATAAGTGTGCATGCAGGTCAACAATCAATTAAGACACATGAAAGCTTAGAGAAAGAGAAAGAAGAAACACACATCATTTAAGTCACTGCATCCAACTACCAGCTAAAACAATCTCGTGACTCACGGATTTTGAAAAGTTAGATCCACAAGTTCCAGATATACACTGCTGCTTGATCTTACAAAACATCATTTGCTAAAAACGGTTGCTGAGATTTCTCAAAAATAGGAACGAAAGTAAAATACAGAATAAGATGTTTCAAGATGCTTCAATCCTTCAGTGCCGCTGTCCTTAACCCCGACTTATTGAGCATCTAAGATTCCTACTTCCACCCTTTTTTTTTCCCTTTCTTTTCCCTTTACAAGCACTTTCTCAGCTGCTAAACAAACTGAAGAGTTGAGAACAAAAATTATCGAGGCAGGGAAGGGAAAAACAGTAGAACAGTACATCAAGTAGCCCACTAAGCCAGAAATAAACACCAAAACCACACCATTGCTAATCACAATCAGGCTCTGTGAGATAAAAAGAAGAAGAATAACAAATCAACAATGACATTAACATAACAAAGAAACTACCAATCAATATCACTTTTGGATGTTTTAAAGTTAGAAATTGCAGAAGGAAATTTATTGCCTTTTGTTCTTCCTTTCCAGAAGAACTAATCAAGTCAGTGGATATAGTCTTATTTCCTGCATATCCTTTAAGTTTCTACTTTTTTTTTCTTTCCAATCTCCTAACCAAGATGGCCCAAAGTTCTAGCTGTTGACACACAGAGTAAAGGACAGAGAAAGATGCCATTTTTAAAAAATGGGCAGTCAAAGAACCATACAACAGTGAAGTAAACCCCCTTCCTACATCTCAAATTCAACAGAAAGGATGAGAAATCAATACCAGCTACATCTTGGCTGTCATAAATGCCGCGGTGCACAGTCCCAAAAGTGCCTCGAGCTATGACACCTTTGATAGCGAGTTTAGAAGGATCAATCTCCCACTCTTGTCTAGTCACGGCGTTGCTGGGCCGCTGTTGCTGCCCTCCTCCTCCGTCCCCTTCCTCTTTCTTACTCTTGTTCTTCTCCATGGTCCATGCCCTGCTAAGATGCCTCTGCAACTGCTCATCCAAGCTCTTCAGATCTATCTGATCTGCCCTCACGTACCCTCCTCCCCCACCGCCCTCACTCTTCTCCTTCATTTCCCACTACAATCCCCACCTAAAGCAGCAAACTTTACAAATGGGTTTTGGTGACTCTGTCCTCTTTGACCTCTTGCTTGAATGAACGTCTCAAAATCTTCCCAATACTGCCACTGGACCACTAGCTTATATGATTAGGGAGTTGATGTGGGGTTGTGTATTAGTAGAAGCAGAAAGTTAAGCAGCAGCGCTTGTGTTTCTCTCTCCTTTCAGAGCCAGCCATGTGGGCACATGGATTTCGCCTGAAAACGACGTGTGTTTGTGACCCACTTTGGTCTCTTCCTCCTCAGTCCTCCTCCTCTGTATCCTCTAGTAGTAGTATTTTTTTTCTTTTCACATTACTCTCTCTTCCCCGACGCTTTGTTGCTATTTTTAATGGGATTCACGGTCAATGTACCTTCCTTTTCCATTCTTTTTCTTGCTGTGTATCTCAGTATCTGTTTGTATGTAATGTGACTGTCCCTTTCAAGATTGGGGCCTTTAAACTTTAATGGTGGAAGCTAAAAACAGTTACATGGAAGCGTAAGGTGATTTTGTTGATTTTATAAGTTCAAGATAATGACTAAAGATTTTTTTTTATATAGAAAATGTCATTGATAATGTTATACCACTATGAACTCCTCACGAAAAAAAAGAACTCTTTTTTATTTTATTTTTATTTTTATTTTTTTTCGTTTAAAATCTATAAATATGAATTAAGAACCTGTTGATCTAAGTGAAAAAAAAGTTCAATTTTTCTTAAATAAGTTCTCAAATTCGAATCCTGTAAATAGAGAAATAAATGTTGAAAGAGCTTTTTTTTATGGATCTGATGCGATTCAATTTCAGATTAATTAAGATTTAATGTGATTACAAATATTGAGAGGTTAATACTAAAAAATCTATAAATACAAAACTTGTAGATTCATTACATAAAATCACAAAAAAATTAATAAAAAGCGTGAATTATATTTTACTTAACTATTATTTTATACTTTACATAAAATAATTTGTAAAAGAATTTTATGTAAAGATAAATTTTTAGAAATATTTATAGTATGTTTGGTTTGAAAAACTGAAAAGAAAGGAAAATGATGAGATTTTTTATATAATTAAATTATAATATTTTTAAATATTATAATATGATTGGTTAAAAATTCATCTACTGTCCTCATTCTCTTCCATTTCCCTCAAACTTATCAAATAATTAAGTCATTTTAAACTCCAACAAGTTGAGCAAAATTATTTTATTTTATTTTAAAATGTATACAAAAACAATCCTCTTTTATCATATAACTCATCCTGCTTCTAAAAAAATAATTATTATTGAATCATTTAGAGTATTAGTCTCATGCAAATCAATTAGCTTAAAGACTAAAGTGTTCTTCTATGACCCACATACTTATAACCAAAGTCTTTTTTCAAAAAATTTAAGCATATGAAAAAGAAAAAGAAATTTAACCACATCCATGATCCATCCACAGTACCTTCTTAGATAATTAAATTCTCAAATCTTTAAGGTAATCGATATATTTCATGCAATCCAACCTGCCCCAGTACATTTCTGAAACAGGCAAGAATATGGAATCCCAAATTAAAATATAGAATTTCAAGAGGTACCTGTTTGCTGCTAATTATGGAAAGCAGCTACCTTGCAAGTTGACTATTATAGAAAGAAAACAAGACATGGATTCTGAGTGGAATGATAAAGGGGAAAGAGGTGGGTGATGTGAGGGAGGTTTGTAGTCGGGACTTAGGAAGGTATTTTGGACCCTAAAGCAAAATTCTCTTAATGGACTTGGGAAGGTATTTTGTACTAACCTTTCAGTATATGATAACTATATTACTTTTATTTAATTTAGAATCGAGTCGAATCAGACCTCATCATGAAAACTCTTTAAGTATTTTTTTTTTCTATTCAGAAAATTAAAAATCAAGGTATTATTTAAGAGAAATTAAACTTCTTCTACTCAAATCAATAAGTCATTGATTAAGTTGTTTGGCATCTTACTTGTACTTGATTACAATTCATTCTTAAACAATTTGATTGGGTAGAAAGAAGTACTATTCTTCGTGCAATTTAAGAGTAAAACATGTATATGTTACTTGATTATTTTTCTTTTAACATGTTTACAAGAATTGGATTCTAACGTTGCACGAAAAGAGAGGAATACATTTTAATGTTGTGACTTTATTGCCACCGGACCAAACGCCCAAGTGCATATATGTTACTTGATTTGATGCCATTGTTGTGAGGAGAAGTAATAATGATATCTTTGAAACGAGATAGAATCATGACTCTAGTTTCCTTATAATCTATGGCTATGATTATATTTATCACTAATTTTATTAGGTTAATAAAATTAATAATTTTTATTTTAATTTAATTGTTAAAAATAGTTAATAATTAATAAAAATAATTAATATTTGTTATTAAATAAATTAAAATTAATTTACAAATTAATATTTTTAAATATTATAATTAATTATTTAAAAATTATAAATTAATAGAATTAAAATTAAAATTAGTGATCTTAATGAAATAACTAGCGGTTATAACCTCATCCTCATAACCTATACGTTCTTTTTAGAATTTTTCTATCCTAGCTCATTGGGAAAAGAAAGGGAAAATGTTAGAAAATTGCTATTTTTGTGGGGACAAATGAATGGTGACAATCTTTAGAAGAAACAATGTATCAAAGAAACCAAACATCTTGTACGAGCTTCCCAACAATTATGGGCCTCTTATAAAGAATAGAAAAATATCACTTACCTATTCCTAATTTGTCAAGTAAATTTTTAATTTTACATCTTTTTAGTTTAATTAAGGAATAATCAGTCCTCTAAACTAAATATGATCTTCAAGTTCTTGAAATTTTGAGTAAGAGAACTAAAAATAAAAAGGGGGGAGGCATGCATTCGAGATTCCCTCTTTATTGGAAAAGGTCTGCTATATCCCAAAATACAGTAGATGTGGAATCTTAACCCAATCTAAATACACCATATCAATATATTTCTGTATATATACTTCATCGATTACAAAAAAAAGGTTTAAAAAATTTGATGCGGTGTTTTTTTATTAAATTGGGATACCATGTGTGCTGTATCTCAAATATATAACAGGTAGAATCTCTTTATTGGCATGCAATAGATTATTGTTAGAAAATATCAATTTTTTTTTTTCTAACCTTTTTATTCCACTATAAAATTTAAACTCGAAACTCTAAACATATCAAAAGATTAATTATTTGATATCACAAAGTTTTAAAGTTTTTATTTTAATCTTAAATTAAAAATTTTAAATTATTAAGTATCAACTTAACTAAATTTTTGTTAGTAAAAAATTTATTATCTTAATAATTAAGAATTGGAACATTATAAGGAACAATAACTCAAATAAATCTAGATACACCAAAGGGGAAAAAGGGTATTGGAAAAGCTAATGGAAACAATATGAACCCTTTTCCACCATCTGTTGGCCACAGCATTCGGGTAACGAAGCCAAAGGAAAATGACTTCCCCAAATGTATTATCTTTAATTTCTTTCCCATGAACATGCACGTGAAAACCACCCTTTATTGACTTAATGCAGCAACAGAACCAGTTACATACTATATGAGGGTCACGGGGCCCGAACGATCCATCTCCTATTTGCTTGTGCTCGAGGGGCTATTTTATATTATTATGTCTAAACTTGAGGGTAGCTACTAATTCCCGTGATTTTGACCGTACCTTATCCATCGCCACCACCAACTTATCTTTTTCTAGAAGAATGGATTTTTTAGTTAATTAAATTACAATGAATATATTATTTTATAATTTAAATTATTTTAAATTATAAAATAAAAATAAAAAATAAGAGAACTTAATAAAGGAGCACTTCTAATATTAAGAGATTCTTTTTGTCGAAAGTTAGTGTTTTAATTACTGTTTAAAATAATTCTAACTATAAAGTACTTTTTTGAATTATAATATTTAAAAATATAAGTTAGTGCGCATCAATCTCAACTCTTAAAAATGATTGAAGTCTCAACCTATATCTAAAAATTAAAATATTATCTTATTAAATATTGACATCTAAATTTAGAAACTCATTATATATTCTAATATATTAAGACTTAACAAGATAATTTTTTAAATTTTGAGTTGGGTTTTAATTAAATAAAATAACGTAATTTAATATTGGATTCTAATTAATTTTAAGAGTCGGATTGATATGCATTTTTCCCTTAAAAATATTATAATTCAATTAATCAAAAAATTTATTCTTCCCTATTCTCTATTTTCTTTAAGCCAAACATATTATAAGTCTTACCTTATTTACCAATTTTAGTTTTAAATAGTAAAGAATAGTAATCCATTTATATACAAGTCTTACACACCAACATTTTCACAAAATCTTAACAATTTACCTCTTAACTTTCAATGATTAAAATTTATCACAATTTTGTAGATAAAAAATAATTATCTTTAAAAAAATATGACAAAAAGTTAATAAATTTCAATAATTAAAAGTGGAGAGATAAATGCTCAAGATTTTAAATAAGTGTGGTGTATAAAACTTATATGTAAGTAGATTTTAACTTATCAATAAATAATTATTTTGTAATTGGTAAGAAAAGTATTTTGGCCTTAATTAATAAAAAAGGTAAAAAAATGTCATTTTACCATATGATTGATGGAATTTATAATATATTAAATTTGAGAGAAATAAAGAGGAGATATGAAATTTTTAATCAATTAAATTATAACATTTTTAAATATTATAATCTAACTAGTAAAAAATAAAAAATTCCATCTCTCCACTCTACTCCGCTTCTCTCGAGCCAAACATGCCCTTATTGATAAAAATTGAGAGTTCTTTGCCACAATTGAAAAGTTGGAGTTCTTATTTGCCACAGAAAATTCAGAGACTTGTTTGAAAGTTCAATGGCTTGATCCATAGTTTTTCCATATTTAAGACCCGAAGCCCATGACGGAAATTGAAATCCGAGACATTGTTGGGCAGGCCCAGCATGGCACACGTTATCCATTAATGCATTCCAACCACAAAAGGTCATGCCCCAAACCTGGGGCCGACATTCACTATTACAACTTTGTCTCGGCAAGACGATGAGACAGATAGACAAGACTCTGACACAGGAATTACAGACATCCACAAAAGTGCATTATTTCATACTGTACATTGGAAAGCATTACAACATTATTTCCAAATTACTTGTTCTCTCAAGGGAGAACTATTGACTTCTACTCAGCTGCATTATTTCAGAGGGACCTCACTGACCGGGCAGGAAAACATTGATATGCTGCATGTAAATGGATGACAGAATCACCGGTACTGAGGTGCAAGTTCACCATCCTTGACAATGTAGTTTTGTGCCGGAAATTCTTCTCCTTTGAAGAACCTATCAAGCATGTCCTTGACTCCAGCAGCGTATCGAAGCTGTACAATTTTCATTTACAAATTTAGGATGTGATTTGCTTGCATGAAATAGAATTGGGGACAAGAAGATTCAAGATGTAATAATACCTGTCCGTCAATTGTGGTACCAGAGAAATGAGGAGTCATAGCATGGTTTGGCATGTACCGCCAGGGATGATCCTTGGGAGCTGGCTGCTGGTTCCAAACATCTCCACCGTACCCTGAAAATCAGATTCAAAAGGAAAATCAATCTTTAAGACAATGAAATCATAGGTAGTTTCTTATCTTGACGCCTGATGACCACCATACATTTACTAATAGTTATGCTTTAATGGTTGAAACAGGTGACAAATGCTAGAGCTCAGACAATTTTTAGAATAATCTAGAGCTGCCAATAACTTAATCATGCTTCATTAAGCTCTTTAAAGAATTCATCTATGCATAGCATTTCATATCCAATGAATGCTCTCCAATTAGATGAAGTAAAAATGTGGAGCTCGGAACTGCAAATTGTTGAAATATGTTTTGTTAACATAAGCTATATACCAGATAGATTTGACTCCAAGTTGATATCAAGTTTATATCATTTTAATGTTACCCGCAATATGTCCGCTTGCAGAAGCATCAACAACTGCTTGGGCATCAAAAATTGCTCCTCGAGCATTGTTAACAATAAACACTCCTTTCTTCATTTTTGCAATCTTATCTTTGCCAAACAGTCCCCTGAGTCACCAACCACCATAAGAGCACTGACTGATGTTAATTCCGTTATAAAAACTGACAGTTTGAATTTTGAATAAGTTTGGGAAAGAGATAAAGAATCAAACCTTGTCTTTTCAGAGAGAGGTACATTGACAACCAAGACATCACATTTGGGAAGCATAGCATCAAGATCCTCCTCAAATTTTGCACCAGTCTCCTTCTCCAATTCAGGGTCAATCTTGACACGGTCATGATAGAGAAGATTGCAATTGAATGGTTTCAGTCGTTGGAGAAGCAGCCTGCCAATACGTCCAGCACCAACTGTTCCCACTGTCTTCCCTTCCAGATCATAAGCTCTGTGAGCAACAGCTGCAACATTCCAATCTCCAGTAACAACCTGATTGTACCCAGGGACAAAATTGCGAAGAAGAATGAGGATTCTCATGAGCTCATCTTCAGCAACAGAGACAGTATTGCTTCCTGTAACTTCAGCAACAGTTAATCCAGCTTCAACAGCTGCCTTCAGATCAATGTGATCAGAGCCAATCCCTGCTGTGAGAAGCAATTTCAACTTTTTGGCTTTCTTTATTCTTTCGGCACTAACATAGGCAGGATGGAAGGGGGTAGTTATTAGGACATCAGCATCAGGAATATGCTTCTCCAGTTCTGCAACAAGGGGCAAAGTTTCAATAGTTAGAAATTTTCAAAAACTAACATGCAATCTTTATCCCTAAGAAGCGAATTCCCTTTTTTCTTTTTTTTTTGGAAAGTAGGCAATGGCTAAGAATGTATCACTAGTACACAAATATTCCAGTCAACAGCGACAGCATTCTTTAAAAGCAAAAGTTCTCAGGAATTCCGTAACTTAGAACCACTTTTCAAGCTAATTGACGGTAATCTTTACATTATAGCATCTTTCACAAATTGGATACCAAAAATTGGTTGAGTGTGAAAATTGAAACAGAAAAAACCTGTGGCTTAAATACAAAAAGTGCCGGTTGATTTTAAGTTGGATACAAGGTTATACTGAAACTAAAGTCAATTTTCACAGAATTGATCGATGGTTGATTTTTTTTTTTTTTTTTTGTCCAACCCCATTTCAAGTTAATCTGAGGTTCCTGTATACTAACCACAGTTAGGTCCTTCTTTGTCATCAGTGACAATGTACTTGTGACCCTTTGATTCCAGCCAGTCACGAATGCCCAAGGCATTCTCTGCGCAACCCACGAAATTGGGGTTCAGAGCAGCATATTCGTTTCCTTTGTAAAACACTCCAACAATCTTGTTGCTCCCTGGAGAAGCCTGTTTTCAGAATACCCAGAAACACAAAATCATCAACTACACCCATCAGAGGGAAAAAGTCACATACTTTACAAAATCAAGCTCAAACCCACTTTAATCATAGCCAAAAATGACAAAAATCACTGTCAAAAGATCAAAACCACAAATTTCTCAGAATAAAAAAGGATCTTAAAGAAGGGGGGTGGATTTGCTCACATGGAGGTGCCTGGTGAGGGTGGATGATCCAGGGGAAGCAAGAGCTCTGAGAACAGGGGTAGCAACATGCTTCATAGCCATAGCTGGGAGGTTTGGCAATCAGAGTTGAAATTGACTAAGGAAAAGTTAAGGGACTCCAGCTTCGCGATGAAACGCGGATGGAACCCTGACCCATTTTATAATGGCGAATTGCCAAAGCCGGATGAATGCCAAGTGGACGGTAGCCAACTTCGGCTTGGCTTCTGCTTCTCCGCTAACATGAGCCGTACGTTGGCGGCCTGCAATTTAAGCCAAGAAAAGGTGCGTTGTGCAGGTTTTATCTGAAACAAGCAATTATATCATGCACTTACCATTTCAACGTCTTTCTTTTATCTGAAACAAGCAATTATATCATGCACTTACCATTTCAACGTCTTTCTTTTTTGGTAAATTTTTACAGGATTTCTTTATGGCATAAATATGATATAAGGACCCAAACTTATACAAAATTTGTAATGTTGGATCCAAACTTCAATTGCACTCAATTAAGGTCCCAAACTCCACGAAAATTCTCAAATAAGGTCCCAATTGGACGGAAAACTAACTTCCGTCAAATCTAACAAACACCATTAATGACTTCTTGACACAGTTTGTCATCGGCTTCCGTGGTGGCGTTGCAACTGCAGGTCCTGCACGCCTTTTGCATGTTTTTTTTTCCTTTACTTCATTTGTTTTTAGTAATAACATTTTTTATTAATTACTTATTTTTTAAATTAATGAATTAATATTATATAATATACATATCCTCAATTAATTTTTAATAAAATAATGACATATTTTTTATTTTAATTAATAATATATTTTACTTCAACAGTTTTTATAAATTACTTTTTAAATTTAATTAAAGTACTTAATTAATAAATTTTTTTAACATTTTCTTTATTTTTCTCATTAATTTTTCTTTTAATTCAAATTTGATAGATTTAATTTTTTATTTAGTGTGTTCAAATTTAATTATTCACTTTTTATTTTTAAGATATTATTTAAT